TTTGAATAAATTAGCGTAAACATATCAATATGTCAATCAAACTGTCATCAACGTAAATTCAGCCAATCACAATTCTCGCCGGCTGGCTGTCTAGAGTGATCAATTGGACTAGGACTTTTGGGCAGGCTCTACTTATTAAAGAGCCGGCCACGCTGGCTAAGGAGCATTTGAAATTTTCAATGTTTTTTCAAATGTCGCTGTGTTTACCGGTATCCGGTCGTTTGCCAACTATCGTTTCATAACTGTCAATTTGTCAGCGTCTCTGGTAGTGTTAGGATTAGTTTTAGGGATAGCTTTTGGGAAAGGGTAGGGTTAGTTTGAGGGTTGGGATTGGTGTAGGGTTAGATTAAGGGTTAGATTTGGTGGAAAATGCAATATTTGGTCTAATTAATGCCTTCGCTTATATTGTACACTGTTTCCATTATTTCTGACAAATGTAAAAACTAATTGAGAACAGTCTTCAATTTCAGACTTCACATATTTTCCTCCAATAACTTTGTACTCTACTATTGATGACTTCCGTCCCAAACAAAATGTTACAGTCCCTTCAATTACAAAGCAGTAATCACCACGGATATTTACTATTCTTTCGTCCCATTTCTGCCCAAGAATATCATCAAGCACTCGGTTTGACGAAATAGTGTAGATTAATCTACCTCTTTCCATAACACCCGCTGCAACACTGCCAAGTACACGTGTAAACACATCCTCGCTGACATCTATTTCGAGACGAACATCTGGGTCATCTTTTCGTCCACAGTTCAAATTCCTTTTAATACCACGATACACAACATCAACGAAATGGTCAGCTCTATCTGTAGTGTAGTGTAGTGTAGTGTTGATATTAATACAATTAATTAATTAGTTAATATATAAGTAAGGGTGTGGTTTAAGATAGGGCAAGGACAAAGGACATTACTCAGAGACAGGATTGAAAAGCTGTAACGATTCAGATAGCGAAAGGAATAAATACATAAAACATTATATTGGCGACCAGGTTATAAAATAAAGTACGAAATTGTCGATAGAGAATTAATTTGCAAATCGCCAAATGAGCGAAAGGTCCGGAGAAGAAACAGAACAAGTAAACAACGACGCTAATATGGCGAATGTACAAGCCGCTTTGCCATTTTTCCCACCATTTGTACAGGACAGTGACCCCGCATCTACAGGACCCTGTTGGACCAAATGGGTCAAATGTTTTGAAAACATCTTAACACCAATGGATGTAACCGAGCCCAAAGGGATCGTGCACTACTACTCCACTACATTGGTGAAGTAGCATATGATATTTTTGATACCTTACACGAAACGGGAGAGGACTACGATACAGCGATAGAAAAACTATCTGGTTATTTTACGCCGAAGAAAATATTGACTACGAAGTCTATGTATTCCGACAAGAAAAACAACGCACTGGAGAAACTCTTGATCAGTATGCGACACGTCTAAGAAAATTGGCGAGTACCTGCGAATTTACCGACCTAAACAAAGAGTTAAAATCTCAGATAATACTCGGTTGTGTCTCATCTCGATTAAGACGACGGGCCCTACGTGAGTCAACGCTTACTCTTGATCAACTGCTCAGTCATGGTCGAGCAATGGAAACTGCAGAAAAACAAGCGACAAACATTGAACAAACGCACGACGATTCTCATGAAATTAATCGCACTTAACGACAACAACAGTTTCAACAGCGTTTATATCAACAAATCCCTCGCGAAACGAATCGCTCAGGAAAATGCTTCAATTGTGGAAACAACTATGCTCATTTAGATGAAATATGCCCGGCCAAAGGGAAAGCCTGTAGTTTGTGTCAGAAAATGAACCACTTCGTTCGTTGTTGCCAGTCTACAATTACAAATCGAAATATTAAACCCGATGATAGTGTCAATCATGTCAAAGCCGGAAATACTACGCAGCGACAACAACACGATACTACAAGCGCAAATAAAATGGAGGTAGATTCGAGTTCTGACGACGATTACATATTTTCGCTTGGAAATATAAAAACACATGCAATTAAATCCAAAGTTAAAAGCCCCAAAGTTCACGTAAAAATCAGAAACATGCCAACAGAGATTATGATCGACACCGGTGCAAGTGTTGACATTATTGGCGAACACGACCTTTTACGAATACAAAAATATTCACGCAATACAAAAATATTCACGCCCCATTACTTTATATAAGACAAACACAAAGGTACACGGACACGGAGCGAAAACACCTCTGCCTATCGTTGGAAAATTTGACGTCGAAATAGAATCGTCGACTCGTATTGTTGTGACCACAATATATGTAATGCAAGGAAGATGTGGTTCGTTGCTTAGCTACGAGACTGCCTTAGGCTTAAACCTTATCAAGTTAACTATTAATGCAACAGAAAATCAACAACCAGAAGTTCAAAAAGAAAACAAACTGAAACAATTACTAGACAAATACAATGCATGGAGTTGGAAAATAAAAGACTGTCAAGTTCATCTTCATATCAATTAAACTGTTACACCTAGTGCCCAACCACACCGAAGAATCCCGTTTCATCTTCGAAAGGGACTTGAACAAGAATTAATACGATTAGAACATGAAGGCATAATAGAAAAAGTACATGGTCCAACCCCATGGGTGTCTCCACTAGTTGTGGTACCCAAACCAAAATGTTCAGAAAAGGTACGTCTCTGTGTAGATTGAGAGAGAACGACACATCACACCCACTATCGATGACCTTGTTAACGACTTAAATGGAGCAACTGTTTTCTCCAAGCTTGATCTAAACCAAGGCTACCACCAGCTAGAAATTGCGCCTGAATCACGGTACATAACAACATTTTCTACACACAAAGGTCTGCAACGCTATACAAGATTGCTTTTGGAGTTACGTCAGCAGCGGAAGTGTTTTAAGCAACCATACAGCAAATCCTCGAGGGCATACCAGGTGCACGAAACATAAGTGATGATATTACCATATATGGCAGCGATCAGGAGTCACATAACCATGCTTTGGAAGCAGTCCTCCAACGCCTGCAAGAAATGAACTTAACCCTCAACCCGACTAAATGTGAATACAACAAGACATCCGTAGAATTTATGGTTATATCTTTTCTAAAGACGACACCTCTCTAGATCCAAAGAAAGTCCAAGCCTTCCAACAAATCAGTGCTCAACAGAATCCAACCGAAGTGAGAACAGGGACGGCGCTACAGGGTGTGTGTGTGGGGGGGGGGGAGTGGAACACCCCCTATCTCAGTCGGCAAAACTGGATTGGCTAAAGATAACCACTAAAGAAACCAAGATTGACCTCCTGAATAATTGAATTCAAACCGAATATCACGAATAGCATGCACCAAAGAAACCACACATGCAGCAATGCAAATTTTTTCGAATACAGTATCTTCACTTCTGGTAGCTAGTCCAAAAACATAATATTATTGAAATCATTATTAGGTAATTAAATTTGTTTGGTTGTTGTTGTTGTTGTTGTTGTTGTTGTTGTTGTTGTTGTTGTTGTTGTTGTTGTTGTTGTTGTTGTTGTTGTTG